TTTTTCTTGAATCAAATTTTAAACACATGATATATATTTTGGATTCAGATTACAATAAAAACTAGGCCTTATTTAATTTGATTAAGAAATGAACAAATTTTTATGTTCCATCTAATTATGGAATGTAGTTAATTGAAGAAAAAAAAGTATAATTAATATTTTAAATTTAGTAAAAATAATACACTATGTGTTAAATAAAAATAAGTTATACAAATAAAATAATTTTTAATATTTATTGTTTATACATTAATCTTTGTATTATATATAGAATATTGTATACAATATACTCTTAGGACTTACATATTAGATACCATATGAAAATATAACATGTTTAATGAAAGAAAAATAATATTTATTCGCACAAACCAAATTATTTCAGTGGTTAAAGGAATGATTATTATTCCTATAGATCTCGGGTTTGAGCACTACCTATTGCAGCAGCGGTGATTGAACGTTCATTATCAAATGATTGAGATTATTTAAAAAATATACTACTTTGCAACCACATTAGCTTAATAAAATATAATATTCACTCAGAATCAATTGAATGGTCTTACTGGTAAAACATTTCCTTTAGGGACCTAAGTTCAAATAGTTGTGTACACATGAAACACCTCAAATTTCAGGCTACTAATTTCGGGTTAACCCGAGAGGTATGTGAACCTCATGGAGTTCGTAATTAAAGTCTTTGGGTCAAGTGTAGGTTTGATCGGGTTTAGATCAAGCCCAATTGTTTATAAAAAAATATCTTTGAATAGTAGGAAGATAATGAGAGACCAATAATGTGATTCTACTATTGTTGAAAAGATGAGTCTTTTTATCTCTTCGTCTTCTTCTCTTTATTTCATTATTCTCCATCTTTCCCTTCCCACCATTCCTCTCCGAGTGTCATAGCTAAAGGTGAGTCATTTGAGCCCTTTTATACTTATTCTAAGTTTCAATTTCGTTCTTAATCCCTCCAATAGTTCGTTTTAATGATTCAAACAGGGGTTTGTTCATTTACACTCCTAACACTACAATAAGTAGCTCTTTCTTTTATATATCATATTAAAATACAAAAATTTGGTATTTTTATCACTCAATCTTACCATCATTCATAAATTTGCCTCACTTTTACAATGGAACAAAAGTATAAAAAGAAAACTTCTCGTCCGGAAATAAGCAAAATATTTAGAAACGAAAAACTACTCGAATAAATGGGTAAATTATGTATTTAGAACTTAAACTATCAATTTTATTCTACTTGGTATCTAAACTATCAGTTTTGTTCTACTTAATACCTAAACATTTAATTTTTTAAAATCATATCTAACGTTTAATTTTGTTTTATTTTATTTTAGTATATCGATGTTAAAACTTAACGCATTTAGTAACTAAACTATCAGTTTTAGTTCGTTTTAATAACTAAACTTTCAATTTTTTTTAAAACTTAATATTAAATTTTGAACGGATACTAAAACAAAACAAAAATTAAATTTTAGGTATGATTTTAAAAAATAAAAATTTATGTGTTAAAATATACCAAAACTGATAATTTAGATACTAAATACATAATTTACCCTCCATAAATTCACTATTTAATTACGCAATAATTTTCGTACCATATTCCTTAGATGATTGTATTTCTCATCTATTATCCTTTTTCTCCGTTGGTCAACCGCACTGGACTCCGCCGTTCGCGTAACGGTACGGCCATAACAACAGCGCCACGGCAACAGCTCCGAAGCTGCAAGCCGACAAGAATCCGGCGATGGTAACTAACAGCACGGCGCCGATAGGGAACCACACGGGGCTAGAAACCAAAATCAACGGCATGAAATAGATGAACCCGAGAATGACGGAAGTGGCGGCGAGGCCGGTGAGAATGATGAGATGGAAGCCAAAATGAAGAGGGTGATGAAACCGATAAGCTGACCGGAGTACGCTGCAAGGGCCTTGACTCTATGTAAAATTACCCTAAATATAGGATGCCATTGTTTTTATTTTATTTTTTGGATAAATTATGTATTTAATATTTAAACTATCAGTTTTAATTTGTTTAGTATATAAACTTTTAATTTTTTTTTTAAAATTATACCTAGAGTTTAGTTTTTGTTTCATTTTAGTACCACGTCGTTAAAAATTAGTTTTTGTTTTATTTAAGTATCCCGTTCAAAATTTAATATTAAGTTTTGGAAAAATTAAAAGTTTAGGTACTAAAACAAACCAAAATTGATAGTATATTACTAAATGCGTTAAATTTTTAATGGCGAGATATTAAAATGAAATGAAAACTAAACATTGAGTGTAATTTTTTTAAAAAAATTGAAAGTTTAAGTACTAAAACAGACCAAAACTGATGTTTAAATACAAAAATTCGTAGTTTATCCTTCTTCTTTTTTTATATATAGAAGTTAATAGTTTTATTAAAAATGGAAATATACAAATTACAGTGGAGGCTTGCAATAATAATCATAAATGAAGCATATAATCAAGACATTTTTCTAATATCATTGACACAAAATTAGCAATTTAATATCACATAAGGACCATACAAGAAAAGATTAAAAAACCTAACCAAAACTCGAACAAGCAAATAGATCTGATTGTATCGGCAAACGAACCACAAAAGGGAATCAAGTTATTGAAAGACCACAGACAAAACCGCAAATCATAGTCGAACAAAGTGAAAAAAAAAACTAACTACAAACGCAAATCAAGCATTCAAATCCAATCAGAGAGCCCAAGTAGAGAAGATAAATATGATAGCAAATAAGTATCATCTTGATCAGTCGTGATAATGTCAAATCAACCCTTAAAAATATAATTGAAAAACAACGACCGGAAACGTGCTAAAAGACAAAGAAAAACATGCGATAAAAATAGATAAAAACGTGTCATAAAGACAAATTTATTAAAAATTAAAAACAATAGAAAAAATATGCAATGTAAAATACTAAAAAGACAATAAAATATATCGAAGATCGACAACTAACATCAAGGTCGATGTCATCGTCGATCAACAAAATTAAAAAGAAGTATGAACAGCACACAACAAATAAGAGAAACTAGAAAAATTAAGGGAAAATAATATAAGAATATTAGTTATTTTATTCTATCTTTATTAACTCAAATAAAATCTGAACCCTCGTTATGGTGGTTCAAAAGATGATACTTAACCTTACTATATATTATAAGTTTAGTCACTTTTATGTTAGCTAACTACTTTTGATCACCAACTTCGAAAAAATTACATTCTAACCACTTACATTTTTAACTTATTATATTTTAATCACTAATCTATCAACTCTTGTTTTGATGACATTGGCACATGAAATATAGTTAACTTCTAATTTAAATTCAGAATCTTAGATAAAATATTAATTTAATGGATAAATTACATAATTCCTCACTGAACTATATTCTTTCTCCTATTATACTTATCGTACTTTCAATTTTTTTAATTTACTCACCGAACTTTAGAATTGTTCATGCATTGATCATTTTGAATTATTTTATTATTATTTAATATAAAATAGAAACATAAGGGGTCAGATTCTACCATCGATCGTCATAGATGATGGCGGTTTGGTCTCGACTTTCATGGGTCAATTAATCTCGATCACTGATTCCGAATCTAATTGTTATTTAACTAAAAAATATCCTAAAACCCGTGAATCTCGACAGAAATATTTCTGCTTCCTCACTTTCAATCTCTAATACGTGAACTTCGGAACAAGTTCCAACAAAATGAAGTTTGGATTCAGACTCAAGGTGTTTAGGCGAAACAACGCATGAAATTTAAGACTGAATGAGCACCATCTAATACAGTCGACGATAGCCGACAATAGCATCCGACCACCTTCTATTTTCATTTTATATTTTCAACTATTTTAATTAAATAATTAAAAAATATCATGTCATACAAAAATAATAATAAAATAATTTAGAATTATCAAAATAAGAACAATTCGAAAATTTAGTGAGAAAATATAAAAAATTAAAAGAACGGTAAATAAAATATGAAAGAGATTGAACTTAGAGAGTATAGTACATGTCTTCTTTCTAAAAAATACTAGTCCTTTCCTCTTTCCTACTGTCACGGCTCATTGTGGCCACCACTAGCAATTACTCCGGCATCCTAAAGCTATCATAGCAAAGCTTTCCTCTCCCTTCCGATTAGTTTTCCCTTTACACCAACTATTAAACCGTCATCACCTGCCTATCACAGCCAAAACAAACACCCCTCGGGGGGGGGGGGGGGGCTAACATAGACCGGACTAGTGAGTGGCCCATTCGTGCCGAACTCGGGTGAAAAGCCTATTAGTTTTCCCTTTATACCACTATTAAACCGTCGTCGCCTGCCTGTCACGGCCGAAACAAACTGTGTTGGGGGGCTAACATAGATCGGACTAGTGAGTGGCCCATTCGTGCCGAACTCGGGTGAAAAGCTGATTAGTTTTCCCTTTATACCACTATTAAACCGTCGTCACCTGCCTGTCACGGCCGAAACAAACTGTGTTGGGGGACTTAACATAGACCGGACTAGTGAGTGGCCTATTCGTGCCGAACTCAGGTGAAAAGGCCAAAAAAGATACCACTGAACTTTCCAACCTCCTCAAGGAAAACTCGTAATTTGAAGCATTGGTGATGCCAAAGATTAGCCGCCGTCACCATAACATCAGGGTAACTTCTTTTAGCCTTAAAACCCATCATCCAATCGGTCAAAATCACAACAAGAGCCTAAATGAAATCCAATGTCACCAATTTCATCAATAATAATGTTGTAATCACCATGCCTCTTGAACAAATCAATACTAACGAGAGGGCGAAAATCATTTCTTAATATATTAAGAGTTATCGACTCAAGGACCAAAATATAACTTATCCAAAATCAGTGATCAAAACTAGATAAAACTGAAACAAAAGTGACAGCTTGTAGATATCAAACTCGCAATCAGCCATGCATATACAGTGGATGTTTTTCTTTTTATGAAACGCAGAAATTAGTATAATAGGTGAAAGCTCTTTCTATTTATTAAGACAAGACTTTTGAGATTCGAGTTAATTCGACAATGGCAAAAATTATGATTTTGATGTACAGAATGATCTAGTTACCACGGGATTACAATAACATATATCATGGTACCGTCTTCGCCAAAATGGATTCCTTTCTGACTCTACGTGAAGAGCTTTCATTTTGCATAAAATTTAACAAGTACCAACTCTATATCAGCAAATACTCCTTCCGATACTCACGCACGATCACAGGCACACTCGTGGGAGGGATCTGAGCCACGAACAATATAATGAATCAAAATATGCTTATGCAACTAACCTCAAGCAAGCTTGAGCATCTAAGCCAATTAATCCTACCAAGAAAGAAGGGTAAATTGTAAACAAAGAATAAACAATGAACGCAGGGAAAATGCAGAGGAATTGGGTATTCCTTGGATTTCAAGGGACAAATACACCTTAATATGAAGGAAAATATTTTGATACTACTTACCATGCCATAATCTGTGACAATCACCGAGATGTAATCAGAAGGAGTGGCATCGTATCTGTTGTCATTGGCACCAAGGTAAGAGATTCAGTCATTTAGAAGTCAACATCAAATCAAATAGTTACTTTCTTTGGAAGAAGAGATCTAAAAGCTTACTTTAAATTAAGAAGTTGAAGGCTTTCCTTCTGTTTATCAGTCAAGTTATCCAGATAATTTAGGTCCACTCTTCCTGCGACCTTTGATATGGCATCTGGATCACCTGCAAGGTACTCCAAAAGGAAGGCTTAAGTTTTCTACTACTAAAGAGAATGTGATATACCTAGAAGAAAAAGGAGATCGAAAGTACGATCCAACCTTCCCTTTTTGGAAAATAAAATTATCCTTTCTTTTTGGAAAAGGGACAGAGTTTTGACTTGTATAAACACCAACATACCTAGCTCATTAAAGCAGATTGAATCAAGCTGCACCCTTTCATGAAATTTATATGCTTCACAGCATACCAAAACTGGAACACCGAATGCATGAGCAACCATAGCAACAGATGCAGTTCCAACCCTTGAGTATACAGTCCCATTAGAAAATATTGAGGAAGCCCCAAGAAAAACTTGGGTGACTTCATGCATGACATAAGAAATAGCATTTAATTGAGTATAAGTACAACTCAGGCCCTTTGCCACCAGCCTTCGTAGCAGCTTTTGGCCTTCAAGCATCGGACGCGAGTCTACCACCACAACGAGAAACCGTTTCCCAAGCTCATGGGCATACAAAAGAATCATTTCAACAACACATGATGATCCATATGTCAGAAGAACATCACCGTCTCTGATCTTTGTAGCAGCATGCCTAACTATTACCTTATCAGCAAGAACTATCTTCTCATTTATGAAACGATCAATGTCAGAACAAAGGGTTGCTTTTGCTTCTGATTCAGAGAGAGTTAGTGGTAACCTGGCAATACGACTCTTCAGAAACCTAATTGCATTTCCCATGCTCATAGAAAGTGGGCGGCATTCAATCAGAAAAGAAACAAAACCACCAATTTTGGAAGTTAAATCTCTGTTGAGGGTTTTTTCTGGTGGTGTGTAATAGTCTCTGATAGCTTCCCGGAATGCCTGAAGCATTGCGATACAACGAGCATTTCCTCCTGACAAATCTCCAGTCAAATACTGCAATCCAACCTGAAAATTTCATGCAACATAAGATTTGTAAGGAAGTCATTTCTCTGTTATTAACTCAAAAAATAGGAAAAATATGTTATATAACTTTCCAAATAAATAGAAACCAGAGGAATTCATGCACCATGCAATAATTACATGTTCCATCATTCTGATTACACTTCCCACAATATATCCTCACACCAACTGGTACACCAAAATTTACAGAATTTGAAATAACAGAACCTTTAAAACTTCGAGAAAGAAAAAAAAGAAACAAAGGAGTTCATGAAGCTGACAAATAAAGGGTTGATGTACTATTCCCGATGGTAAGTTTGCCTTTTTGAGGTTATCATTCTCCTGGATATTTAGTATGCATCACTTTTTTAAAGAAAGGGGAATCATCTACCCCACCACCCCTCTTTTATTTTCATTTTTTTCAACTGACTTGACATACAAAATTATAAAATTCACAGCTAAATTGCAGAAACAACTATCATAAGGGACTTCCAATTACTTCCCTTTAGACAATTGGTCAGATAGGAAGAAGCCGAATAAGCTCAACTGTTAACTAAGAGTTAAGAGTACCTTGTACACAGCAGGATGCATTTCATGAAGTTCAAAAAATTTTGATTCCAAATAAGGAAGCTGAGATCCATTTTTGTGTGGCGGCAGATGGCGAAAGAGTTCAACTCTATTCCTAGCTTCAGGTTGATTCAATACAGATCGCCTTTTAGCCTTACCCACACGACTAACATCATCAAATTGCATTCGTGGAGGAGGAAGATCTTTCTTCCTCTCTTTCTCTACTGGTCGATCAACTCCTATTCTTTCAGAAGCGGCAACTGAAGATGCAACTGGAGGACCATCTTTCTTTTGTTGTGGCTGCTTCATGGGTTTAGAAGAAGCTGCTCCTCCAGGTGTACTAGATTTATTTGCCTCAGCTATAAAATCAAAATTAAAAGCTTTCAGTGCCAAGGGCAAAGCAAACAAATTATATGCCAATAGAAAACCGAGTGCAATTGGTCAGAACAAATTTAAAGATGAAAGGAATGTAGCAAAACTCATGTTTCATCAAAATCAGAAAAGACACTGCCTATGTTAACAAACCTGAACAAATGCTAAGGAAACACTAACTGAGCTGCTTGCTAATTATTCAAACTTCGCTCATTAGATTAGAAAACAAATAAAGTTTGACTTTGATGATGAACTCGCTTCGTAATATCTATTTCTCTTTCAATGAGATTAGGAACCTCTTACTTTAAGGCAAGGGGGAAAGTTTGCAACTGGTTAGAACATGTAGCAGAGAAAATTGTCTATAATAATCATATATAACAATAATAAGGCATTTTATTTTAAGACATAATTACAGTTAGATAAATAAGTAGAGTATTTATTAATTGTATGAGCATTATAGCTTGCATGTTTCTTTGAGTCACATGTTATTTCCTATTTATTTGTACTGCACCCTTTAGATCTATTTTCAAATACCCTATCCTCTCTCTAATGTTTCCCACATCCACCATCGCTTTCTCAAATGTTACCAATAAATGTTAAAATTAACCTACATTGGGATGAAAGGGACAATCAGATAAACTAGATATTTTGTTCAATTTACTTCAAAGTTACCCATAGGCATGAAAACGAAGAAAATACTGTTTTGAACCTTTAGAAGAAGCTTTAACAGCCCGTTGAGATTCCTGCAAGGCACGCCTCTCAGCCTTCGTTGTTTTCGCTTTTAGGGGTTTTGAATTTGATGCCTGCTCCTTTTGCGCTTCGCTTTTTTCTGCAATGAAACTTTGTTTTAGGAAACCCCGTTTATTCCAAACACTTTGAAACTTATTGGATTTAAAAGAAAAATTATATTACCAGGCAGTGGATTCTTGGCTTCAAGTGCAGCAACACTACCCGGCTGCTTCACTGGAGACAAATTGAAACCCCCGCTGGGCAAACTTGACGAGAACTTCGCTGAATTACTCCTCCGATACCAGTCCGTCCCCTCCGAGAACTCTTCATCTCCAATTCGACTACGAGTCGGTGACTCCAACCACAACACAGACTCCGAGGGGTTGTAGCTTCCGACAATAGCATGGTCTCCAGCGTTTCCATGTCTGGGAACGGGGAGAGCGGCGGTACGTCCGCCAAGGTTGTCGGAGAGGTGACGCGCCGGCGGAATCATGACAGGAGAGAGGGAGTTGCTGGCGGGAGAACCAGAGAGTGGCGGCGAATCGGAAGTCGGAGGGCCTGATTGGGAGCGTGTAGGAACAGGGTGCTGCGCCGGCGTGTTGGGGGTGAAGAAGCCGACTTGGCGGACTCTGGGGACGGCACGTGAGACACGACGCGTGTCCATGGAAACTTGCTGTTCGGTCGAAGAAGCTATTATTTTGTATAAAAGAAAACAAGTTAGGGTTCGGATATCATGCAGATTAGGGTGAGGAGGAAGACATCGACATCGTTTGAGGGAAAAAACGATTTATTTATTTAACGTTTTAAAAAAACTTTTAATATTCGCTACAGTGTTAGAGAACATTTTTTTAACATTAATGGAGAATAAGTTTTTACTCTAGCTCTATGAATTAAGTCGCTTCTGTAGTAAATGAATCGTTATTAATTTTTAAGGTTCGGATTTTAACATAATAGATGTTAAGAATGTGAACGTTCATTATCGTGAAGTTATAAACATATATTGTGTTATATTTATCTTAATTTAATAAAATAAATTTTACTCTAGTCACTTGTTTATGTTTTTTCTTGTTTAGGGTTTCTTTGGATACATTGTTTTCACCTTTGATGTTTTACTTGGTAGGTCTTAAATCTTATCCGATTTAAAAAATATGTATCATCTACTTAAATCTAATATGATTCAAAATTATGTATCTTCAATCCGACCTGATCCATAAAATATACATCTTATATTCGATTCCGACCTGAGTCAAATTTTTAGAGTATAAATTCAATTCGATTCGACTCGATCTAGTATAAAATAAGAAATTAATTAAATAATAATATTTTTTTAAATAAACTACATTATTATCTTCGGGTTGGATTGAGTCGAAGTTTTTTCACCCTCCACCCAATTCCCCCTCATTCTCTTAAAAAATTTGACCCAATCCAACCAATTTTTTTTTATAAATATGATCCAATCAAATCAGGTCAAGTTGAACGCGATCAATTTTAGGTTAAACTGTGATCTCTACCATTACAGAGTTGGTGTGTATTAGATTGTTGCTATCTTTTACTGTACATTTGTTTTTCAAGCACGGCTTAAAAAATTATATTTTGTTCTTTGAGGCTTTAAATTATTTTTTTGCAAAATACGTAAATTATATTCGATTATAAAATATTATTTTGTTAAATCCGATTTTATTGTCTCTTTCTTCTTATTGTTGTTTGTTGCACGAGTCACAAAAAATGGATCCTTGGTCTTTTACTTAGATCTATAACCATTCATTCCAAGGAAGTTCTACAGTGCGACACCTTTAATATATAATTAAAAAAAGACTTTATCGGTTTTGTTATTATTTAAATAACAAAACCGGTAAAAAATTACCTAAAACATCAACATTTTTAAATATTTTTGGTAAAGTGTCCAACAATAACAAAATCGGTAGAAAAAATAACAAAACCGGTAAAAAATCCAATAATAACAAAACCGATAAAAATAATAATGTTTCTGGTAATTTTTTACCGATTTTATTATTTAAATAATAACAAAACCAATAACATCTATTTTAACTGTATATTAAAATTACTGCACGTGATCATTTCTCATTCATTATTGGCTTTCACAAGTCTTTGTCATGAGGGACTTTCCATTTCTACTCTTTCAGAAGCATATTCCAAGCTCTTTTTTTGGGGTAAATTATGATTTTAGTATTTAAATTATTAGTTTTAATATGTTTTAAAGCATTAACTTTTAATTTTTTAAAAATATACTTAAAGTTTAATTTTTGTTTCATTTTAGTATCATATTTAAAATTTAACGTTAGGTTTTGGAAAAAATTGAAAGTTTAGGTACTAAAACATATCAAAATTGATAATTTAGGCACTAAATGCTTTAAGTTTTTAACATTGGGGTATTAAAATGAAACAAAAACTAAATATTAGGTATAGTTTTAAAAATTTTAAAAGTTTAAGTACTAAAACGAAACCAAAACTGATAATTTATGTAGTAAACGTACCCTTCTTCTTTTTTGTAAGGGTGTTTCCCTTGAATGATTCTAAGCTTTAGGATAATATCATATTTTATATTGTAGCGTTTGCTTCGGTTCTTGTCTGATTTTACAAGGGTTATCTTTAAGATGAAAGGTTTATGTTTTTATTCAAGGGAAATTTTAAACCTCATTGAAATTTAGCTTATTTCAGAAATAAAAAAAATAAAAGTCTGGTCATCTTAGTGTTAGAGAGAAAATAGTAGAGTGATTAAAAAATTAATGGTCAAAGTTAGGTGATAAAATTGATAAAAATTTAAACTTCAATGGCTAAAATAGGAGTGATAAGATAGTTGAGTAGTCAATGGTGTAATTTACCAATATATAATAAGCTTAAAACAATTATAAGAAAAATCAACATAAAGAATCAGGGTAATCATACAATTGAGGTGTTTTTTTCGATCTAATAGATTTCTTAAAGGGTAAACCATATATATGGTCATTAATGTTTGAATAAGTTTTTTTATTTTCCATTGAAGTTTCAAAAGTAATAAATTGGTCATTAACATTGTCGATTTATAACAAAATAGTCATTAACATTATCTATTTGTAACAAAATGGTCACTCCACTGTCATCCTCGTTAAATTGATGATATGACAACGTTAACAAAAATGTTAATGTTTAGTTTTACCCCTAAACTAGTGCTACAACACTAAATAAGTCATTGCACAATGATTTTATATTTAATTTATCTCAAAAGCTTTCTAATTTTCATTTTTTTCATTTTTCTTACGAAACGGAAATCATACTTGAACAAACCCTCTCCGTATCTTCCCCATCAAAGTTGCTTGGCTGTCGGAGTTCCCCACACTTAAATATACGATTATTGAATTAATCTTTGTTTTTTAGCTAGGGTTTTCTTTTATTTCATTGGAATTTGTAATAATTTATTATTTTATACATGGAAAAACCCATGATTATTTTTTAAATTTGATAATGATCGTCTCGGTTAGTTATATGGTTGTTCGGGTTCAAAACTTGGCGAAGAAAAATCTTGATGGGGAACATACGGCAAGATTTTGTTTAAGTGTCGTTTTCATTTTGTAAGGAAGGTGATTCAAATATAGTAGATGTGGACATGTGGTGGGGTGTTTGAAAAAGATAAAAATTAGAGTCTTTGAGGATAAATTAGATATAAAATCATTGTTCAAAGACTTATTTAGTGTTTTAGTAGTAGTTTAGGGGTGAAACTAAATATTAACATTTTAGTTAACATCTATGTCATCAATTTAACGAGGATGACGGTGGAGTGACTATTTTGTTACAAATCGATAACCTTAAAGATCATTTTGTTACAAATCGATAACATTAATGACCAATTTGTTATTTTTGAAACTTTAATTGGAAAAAACAAAAATATAGTCAAACATTAATGACCATTGGTATAGTTTATTCTTTTTAAAATATTTATAAATAAAAATATAAAAAAATATTATTGTATTAAACAATTAACGTAAAAAAATTTAAATTTTAGGATGTACATGAGTTGTACATACATCCGCCATTGCTCATAAGGAGAACGAGATTTGTAGAATAAAAATATCCTGATTGGGGGGGGGGAATATTGATAAGAAAACTAAAAGGTAGCATTCGCCACGACAATCGTTTGCAACAGTTTAGTCCACATTCAGCTCGCACACACTCGTACAAGGGCATAAGATGTTGTAATTTGAGTCTTAGAAAGTAGAGAAGCAAGCCTTCTTTCCTCAAAGGACTGTTCAATCTCTTCGACCGGCTTGGTAATGGCGAAAGGTATAGGTGCAGGAGTGGCTGCTGGCGTCATGGCAGTCTGCATCGGAACCGACACTGTCGAAGGTGTGCAAGGGAATGGCATCACCTTCGGGGTCCTATTTTCTTCATCCACAAAAGGAATTGTCTTCAAAGGGGTAGCGTATGGGAGATCATTATTCTGATGATGCATCTTGTGTGATTTTTCACCATTGTCTTCTACTTCTAGCATGTTTGTTGTATTGCTTTTCGCTGAGACCGCAGAAGTGATCGGTGAGAATGGCTTTCGAGCTAACAACGGCGACTCTGGTTCGATAGCATTTGAGGCTCTGGGAGTGGAAGAATGCTTTCGTACAGGAGTGTCAACAATGTCCAGGCCTCTCCTAACTGAGAATTAGTGAAAGGGTTCAACATATGATCACATAGAAAGCAATTGTGTCGTTCCTTAAATGTAAAAATGCAGAGACAGAAAACTTACTAGCTGAGAAGACTGTGGCGTCATCATGCCGATGATTTAGATGGTCATTTTGCATTCGCTCGTTTTTCTTACTAGGACGCGTTTTGGGAGTAGCCTTTGCAGGGTGAAGTGAATCGGGCTTATGAGTGGTCATCATGGCTCCTCCCAAGGAAACTCTTCTATTGCTAGCACCTCCAGTTGAATACCTAGGACCCTTTTTCACACTCTGAGGTTTTGATGGGCTTGGCTTTGATCCATAGAGTGCCTCTTGCTCTGCTATCAGCTGTCCCTGAAGTTTCTTCTGGTCCTGGAGCACAACAATAATGGCTCACAACAACATTAGCTCTATTTAGTGAAGAAACACTTCCATAACCAGTGGTTGCATATGCACTTTGGGAAATAAGGTTGGTATCATACCCGCAGCCTGCGCCGTTCTTGCTCCTTCTCTTTTCGTAAAATAGTGTACTCTTCAAGCATAGAAAGGAGACGAATCTGGGTAGAGTGCAAGGATCAGTTTGATACCAAAAGTTTTAAGCATATATGGGAACTAAAGGTTCTTAGTGTATATCGATAGAGTACTCACACCATCATACAAAAATTCGATCTCTCTCTCTTTCTCCCATGCCATGGTCTTTGAAGCTAATGCCTCCACCATTCCTGGTTTAATATGATAAAACAACTTCAGCACAGCGTAAGTGATTCTAAGCAAAACAGGCAAAACATTTACCTGGAAGTTTATTAACCAGGGCACGGGCTTTCTCAGCACGCTTGAGTGTAAGATGAGCACCTTTTCCCGCGTTATATCGGTTTTCATCCTGTTGAATCACAGACAATTAAGCAAGTCTAGAAGAACGAAAAAGATTACTCTTTAAGAGATGCCGAAAACGCCCACCCTGTTGTATTCCTCAAGCCAGCACTCCTCATCACATGCCGTCAACCATTTCTCCACCTTTTCAAGTATTTCTTTCCTGCTAAGGGCCTCCTCTTTGACCTTGGCAATTTGAAGTTCAATTTGTTCTAGTATGGTGGCAGCATCAGCAAACCCTGGATATAAATAGGTAAGATGGCAGTCAGTAGGAAGAAGGGAGCAAAGTGGGATATCATATAACCGATAATATGATGAACATAATATCGTTGTCAAGTACCAGACTCGATAGCTTCGATGGCATCTTCTATTGCACAATCTGAATCTGGAAGCAGGTGAGTCTTTCTACAGATTTCCTCTAGCTCTAATCTCTTCTTTAGGACCAGCTCTTTCATTTTGCTCGACTTCAACTGTTCCAACCGGGAAACTTCCGCCTCAACCTGCACAACACATTGGATTTACTTCACAATTAGTCTAGAAGAAAGCACCTACTACCATCAGAAATCTATAGAACAAAGAGAAGATCAAGTTCGAACAAACATCACTTACATAGTTTATGAAATCCACGGAGAGAGTGTTGGGTTCAATAATTTCATGTTCTGAAGCAGCTACATTACGGGTAACATTCTGAAACATCTGTTGCTCCCCAATAGGTGTATCCATCAAATTCCATAACTCTAACATGGTGGTTGCAAGATCTTGTAGCTGCCAAGCATCAAATAATCATTGTTACATGCTGAGAGAAGGGGAAGTGGGGAGGAAGGAGAATGTTGCAATGTACAAAATGCAAAAAAAAAAATAAAACAAGTATTTTTACCCTCTCCATCCTCTGTATCTTAACTTCCAGTAACTTTTTTATCAATGTTGCCAATTGCTCAATTGTATCATCGCTGATACTCGTAAACCCTTTGGGGTCACCTAAACTAGGATGAATCTCATCAACTGTCAGCATGAAATCCATACCCAGCACAGAGCAGAGTGAGTTCAATGTGTTAAGGTAATCCTGAACCTGCTTCAGGCGATCACTCTGCACAAGAGAGGGATCAGTTGGTGAGAAAATGCTTATAATTTCAAATAAAGACATAAGAAAGGGAAGTTGACCTTCTCTTTCTCAAGTTCATGGAGCTGTCTATGCAACTCTTCAAGCTTCCTCAAGGATAAGTCAGTTTCATCCACTACGGTTTTGGAAGAAATCGATACGGAGGATCCATAAATCTCATTTGTGATCTTTTGTATTTGCTCTAAAACTTCCACAAATTGATTTCTTCTTTCGATCTTTCTTTTCTTCATTTCCTCCAACTGTGGAAGAATCTTGCTGAGCTCCTCCTTTAAGCTTCCAGCGTTTTGATCAGACTGAAAAAGAAACGTTTAACCATAAGTAAATAGTTCAATCTAGTAAGAAACTTTTTCATCTTTCATTCCTGACCTGCCTAATATGCACTGGCCTTTCCCCCATTGCCGAGCAGATGGCGGCAAGCTCGGCTTCAGAATCAGCAATCGTCCGTCGCAGCTGAGCTCTGCAGTGATTTGCCTGATCTACCTTTCTTCTATATACTTCCAGGCACTCCCTTTCAAGCTCGAGCAGCATTTCATCACGGTCAGCATCTGTCTCCCCGACTTCATCCCAGATAATCTGATTTTTTTTCAAGGAATCAGAATCAACACTGGGCAGTTTGAAGGTGCCTTTTTTGTGGAATATTCATCAATACCTGAAGTTCGTACAGAAGGGTTCCACATGTTGTTTCCACCTGAATAAGTGGATCATTTTTCGGAGTAGACATGTTGAAGAATTCCTGCCAAAGTCAAAATCTTCAGAAATCAGAAGATACCCAAAGCTATACCCATCAGGGATTCAAATAACGGTTGCATTTATAGCAATGGGCGCTTTAAAGCACGAAATGGAAGGAAAAAAGAGTCATAGAAATCCCAGATGGCATATAAATGGTTCAGTCTTTCAGATCAATTTTAGCTGGAATCAAGACTGAGAACAAGGAAACTGGGAAAACAATTTGCAGTAGCATCCAAATTCAATAGAATGATTGTTCTAGACATTGAAATTCATCACTATTTTGGGCAAATACAGTACACGAGACACTGAATTCCCAGAAGTTCTTCTAAACTAAATATAAAATGAAATTAAAACCAGCATTTCATCACAAATAAATACTACCGCAAAGACAAAATGGCCATCAGAAAACCCTAATCCCATCAAAATCTCACCATAAAAAAGAAATCAACCGCACAAATTTAGGTAAATACAAAAGACCAATGAAAAAGAGAGTAAATCGTGACCAACAACCGATTGGTCTAATGGCATGACACACTAGATCCTTAAGCAAGGCCAATGATATTTGCGAAGGGAGCAAACCAAGCTGGGAAGACCACTAATATATTATCTGATCTGAATTAATCAGTCAATTGATCGGATACCGATGATTAATTTAAAAAAAAGTAAATCGTGATTCGTTGCACAAATCTTGGCTAATCAAACATGGAAAAACAAACTCATAATGAGAAATAACCTCAGCCTAAAGAAGAAAAAGAATCCCTATTATCATAAGAAAAATAGAACAACAGAGGAAACAAAAAGCTTTGAGCTCTGAGCTCCTCCCCTCCCCCTTGTTCCTTTCTCTACATTTTCTCGTTATCCAAATTTAGCAACAAAAAAGTAATATAAAAAATTAAAAAAAAAAAGTGGATTTGGAGAGGACCCTTAACAATTCTTCCACTGGAATGCTTTTTTTCTTATAAAGATCGAAGGTTTCGCTTTAAAAAACGCAGAATTCTTGCAAAAATAAAGGGATAATTGAGGTTCGTAGTTGGATTTACAAAGAAAAGAGTTCTAAGAGAGAGGGAGTGTAGGCGTTTATGAGAAAAGGACCGTTGGGGCTCTGCTTATTTTTTTTTTTTAATGATTTGGGAATCGATTTGAATTTCAAATCCTGTGAGGGGGATGCAGCGATCTGCTCCACCTGTTTGTACCGGATATATGGCCATCAACTGTTCGATTGTTTCCACGTATCTGGAATCTAACGTTCCAGATTTGTTAAATTCACAACGTTTAATTTATTGCTTGTCGTGATACCTACAGAGCGGTTATTTTATTTTCTAATGTTATCATTATTATTTTTTATTAGTCCGAGTTAAGTACAAATATAATATATGTTCAAAGATAAATCTTAATCATTTGACATTGAACGCTCACTTTTCTGACATTTTTTGTGTCCGAACCCGAGATCTCAAGGAATAACGACAATTCTTTTACAACTAAGGTCGTTTGGTTCGTACTAACATTATTAATTTAATTAAAGTATCACCGTCACTAATATTATCAATCAATTAAACACCCAACATTATTCGACTGGAGAATCACTCACTGACTGAAGCCTCTTATTTTCACGATCGACCAAATACCCAACAACCACGTAAGTACAAGGTTTCACGATTGACTGAAAAAGATTCTCCATACTGCAATCGTCAAATTTTTATAACAATCACCGCATGATACATGGCAGTTTGATTGGTGGAGATTCAGACAGTCATATACCATCAGAGTTTCAATCGATTGATGGTGTTGGTAGCAATCAACAACGATAACGAATTGAAATTAGGGGTTTTCAAGATTTTGATTTTTTTAATATAATTTCAGAAATATTAGGTTTTAAAAAAAATAAATTTTCATTTTAAGTGTTTTTTTTAAATAAAATTTTATAAAAAAAGTATCTTTTAACATCATTTACAGCCATGCACCTAAAAATATGTTTTATATTATTTAATGTATTATATTAATATTATGTCAAATGTAAAATTTTATAAAATTAAGATAATGTAAAATATAATTGTATAATTTTTTTAAATATTTTTAACTAAATATTTAAAATTTAATTTATTAGAAATATATGTATCATAAGAATAACTTCATAAATTTACCTGTTGATACTAATATATTTCCACAATCAAAGGTCAGATTATATAATATTTTTAATAATTTATTAAATAACATTATATTAATATAAAATACATTATGAAAATATAAACAAAATGACTAGCTATCCCTCACTGTTCAATAATTCAATTACAAAACGAAAAGCACAATCGTGCTATTGGTTGACCTCATAGTCTCTTCTTATAACTTCAAGCACAAATTCATTCCAGGTATCAACAGGACCCGGCATGCTCCAGTGCAAGCAATCTTGCGGTGGAGGCTTCCCATCGCGCCCACGCTTCGTTATCTTGTTCGGATCGGGACTCCGGTAGGGACCTGGATGACCGTCGTGCCGATACTCGAAAACTTGGGTGATGTCCATCATCCGCAACTTGGACTTGTTTGTTGCCTTCTTCGAAGCACGTTCGAAACCCATCACCTGTTGATTGTGCATTACGTTTGTGAACCCATTCTCTACTATTTCACCGGTTCCGAGTGGCTTCACTTTTCCGGTACATGATCCACTAGTATTCCAAGCCCTACCTTCGTAATGATCAGGAGAAAAGGAACGTACAATGGCCGGGCCGGTGTAATTGGGATGTGTAACGAGTGCTGACAGAATCGTCTCTGTAGACAGGGGCGGATCTTCATGGTGCCTGGGGTATCCCGGGCAATCCCTCATCCAGAGGCGGACCTCCATGATGCCCGGGATATCCCAAGCAACCCCTCCACAAGTGTCACCCTTAATACAAGTGTCACCCCTCAAAAGTGTCATCCTTGGGGTTCTTGCAACCCTTAAATTTTTGTCTTGGGTCCGCCTCTGTCTGTAGATATTCCACATGCGTCGACGTTATTGAACTTCATAGTTCGAGAACGATCCGGCCACCATAATTGTCCTCCGACGATTTAAGGACGAAATAAAGTATATTTTTATTAATTTAGAATGTTACGTAATTAATGTTTATATTTTTATCAAAATTTAAAATTTAATTATTTTTTAAACCAACCGCAAAAATTAAAATTTCTAATATTTTTATTCCAACATATTGTTTAGAGGCAATTTTATATTTTTACCCTTACTAATACATGAACTCTACTCAATTATGTATTTACATTTGATTTTAATAATCTAATATTAACATTCTTAAAAAATACTTTAGTTTAATTATTTAAAAATAAATAAAATTCATGATTTATATAGTGACTTATATAAAATATATTTTTATTATAATTATATTTTTATAATAAATTAAATTGATATAATTCATATATAATAAAAATTTGTTTAAACTTATTATAGTTTAAATTGATATGATTCATATATAAGTGTAAATATAATTTAAATGCTATATTTTTAATTTATAACACAATGTTTATGATCAACATTTTATATTTTCAAACTCATTTTTTAACAAAAATATCAAACAATTAAAATTAAAATTACCCTTTTGAACAACACTTTCAAAAGTTCATTTCTACGACATTTTTAAAATTTACTTTTTAAAAACAATGTCAAATTGATCCTAAAATTAGGGATGGTAATGGGTCGGATTTTTGGTCAACCGACCCGACCCGAAAATATACACCCTCCATAGGAACCCGACCCGAATCAAAACTTTTATATCATACATCCGACCCAGTATAATTAAGGATTTAAATTAAAAAAGTACTAAATTTTCTTAAGGAAATTACATTATTATTCTTGGGTAAGAGCTTTTTCACTCTCCATCTGAACGATTGAACCCGAATCAATCTGACTTCACCCCTTAAAAAATCAACCCAACTCAACATAACTTAAATCTGATTTTTTTAAAAAATCTGACATGATCCGATCAGAAATTACCCTCCCTCGCTAAAATTCATCTTGTTTAAAAACCCTAATTTGGTTTGGATCCAAACTCAATAGTCCATAAACAATTTTACGGTCCATCACCAACATTATCCTCCCGCCAAGCCCTCAAAACACTTCCCCTTCGTTTTCAGACTTGTAATTGTTATAGAGGGAGATCCGAACACTACTTCGACTTCCACGGCAAAGTGAAAGTGAGAGCGAATGGATATGTTCTGAGCCACCCCATCACCATAAATTTCTAATTGTTTCTATTTCTCCTGAAAAAAACCATCTCAATTAATGGGTACCCATAACCTCTCATCTCTTCCTTTTGCAATTTTCACTTGTCATTCCCAGCCCTCCAAACGCCATCTCTCTCTTCCTTTGACATCTCTTTATGGCAAAAACCTTTTACTTAAACCCTCCACCCGTTTCGTCTTTAAACGCCATTTCTCGGTCACCACTGCCACCGTCTCGCTTAGCCTCCCGACTGCGTAAGTTTGAGCCCAGATTTCTGTAATTTTGATTTCTTCATTGTGATTGAGGTTTTTATTTTCTGGGTTTTTTTTCAGGAAACCGGATAGGACCCCTTCTGAGAAATCCCCAAAGTGAGATACGTATTGTGGATGTGAATGTTATAGCGTATAAACTCTATAATATATATTAATATGATGGTTGAGGTTCTGTTTTTGTTAGTAATTAATTCTTTCAAATTGGGTCATTGTGGTGGTTAGATGGTCGTCGAGATCGATAAAGTCCTTTGCAATGGCGGAATTGGAGGCAAGGAAGCTCAAGTATCCAAATACCGGGACTGAAGCGCTTCTTATGGGAATTCTGGTCGAGGGTTAGTATATTCTTTGCCATTTTGCTCAGTACTTGCTGTTTCAGCATCATGTAACACACTTGACAAAATATTATGTAAATATTTATTGTGGGCTTAAATGAAAACATGTTTCTTGTTGGGGGATTGTTGTGAAGAAGTGTTAATGCATGGAAGTCTTATTTGTAATTGGTTCCCTTCAGGATTTACATAATTTGAAAGCTGATTTAGTCTTTGTGAATGCATAATTTTAGCAAATGGCAATGGTGACAAACAAATAAAACAATCATTCTTGTTTTTGTTGCTACTCCAACTCCATTTATATTTGATTTATTTTTTTTGTATTTTCACTTATGCATTGTGAAGTTGAAACTTGTAGTTCTATATAAATACGAAGGTTATATCAATGCCTCGGATACATGGTCTTCTGCTTTGAAATGTAAACTTCAGTGTTCTGATTAAAGCTGTCTAACCCCCCCCCCCAAACTCCCATTCAGGGAGAAGGGGAAAATATATTCCAAAATAAGCTAATATGGACAATAATTGCATGGAAGTCTTATTTGTAATTGGTTCCCTTCAGGATTTACATAGTTTGAAAGCTGATTTAGTATTTGTGAATGCATAATTTTAGCAAATGGCAATGGTGACAAACAAATAAAACAATCATTCTTGTTTTTTTGCTACCCCAACTCCATTTATCTTTGATTTATTTTTTTGTATTTTCACTTATGCATCGTGAAGCCGAAACTTGTAATTCTATATAAATACGAAGGTTATATCAATGCCTCGGATACATGGTCTTCTGCTTTGTAATGCAAACTTCAGTGTTCTGATTAAAGCTGTCTAACCCCCCCCCCAAACTCCCATTCAGGGAGAAGGGGAAAATATATTCCAAAATAAGCTAATATGGACAATAAAAATATTTTTTTGTTAACCTAAAATATGGTTTTATCACTTTATGAAATGAAGTTATACTGTGTCCCTTTTAGACTAGTCTCTATCATGTTAGAAAACTTTTCAAATGTTTACATTGTATGCCTATAATTCCTCTTTTTCGTGTATAGGAACAAGCCAAGCTGCAAAATTTTTAAGGGCTAATGGAATCACACTTTTCAAAGTGCGAGAAGAAACGGTGAGCTTACTTGGAAAGTCAGATATGTATTTTTTCAGTCCTGAACATCCTCCGCTAACTGAACAAGCTCAAAGGGCTCTTGATTGGGCTGTTGATGAAAAGCTAAAGTCAGGTAAAAGATATTTTCCGATTCTTCATATGGTATATTTATCATGTTATACAAAAGTTTAAATGGTAGTTGAGTAAAGAAGAAGTATTACTGACTTGTAATACGCAAGTATTAATCAACAAATCTCATTTGATTGAATGTAATACTAGTCACTTCTACTTGCATATGGAGGTGAAATTTTTTATCTTGAATTCCATGGGTGACAGATATTCATGATAATGTTTTTGACATTTTCAGAAGAAATGAGGATGCAATAAAATTTTTCAGTTCCTTTTTATGGAAGTTACTAAGGTTGCATAATTAATTGTCAATCTAGAAAAAAGAGCTATTCTTCTTGTTTATTACTGACTGACATGAGTAGAATCCAAGTTTCAAAAGAAAGCGAAGTATGATTTAATATCAAATTTTAATGATGACAACTGTACTCATATATCCTTTTGAGCAATGTGTATGACTTGGTTGCCGTCTTATAATTTTGAAGTTCATGATGTACATATATTAAAACATTATGAAGCAGTAAATGGTGAAAACTAAAATATCCTATCTGCCATGGTAACTCCTCAACAGGAGCTCATGTTTTACCGGTGACAACTTCCCCATTTCTTCAGTGCCTTCTTTCTATTCTCTAAATGTTTGACATTTGGTACAATTTGAGCAGTCTGCTTTGAATAATGTATTTTTGTTTTCTTCTATGTTATTCCTTACAAGAGGTATCTTATTCTCTTACAACTGTTATACCTCCATATCTAATTAAGATCATTGTGCTGAGTGCAGGTGAAAGTGGGGAAATAACCACAACTTACTTGCTTCTTGGTATTTGGTCAGAGAAAGAATCAGCAGGCCACAAGATCTTGGCCACTTTAGGTTTTGATGATGAGAAAGCCAAAGAACTTGAAAAATACGTAAGTTGCTTACCTTCTATATCAGCAATAACGTCACGTCTTTGTCATTGACATGTTATTGTGTTTTGTTTTCCTTCATGCAGCTTAACGAGGATATTGTTATGAACTACAAGTAGGTCAAAAGATTTCTGCAAGTTCCAACTTTGAACCGACTACGCGATACTTCTTGGGGCAGATAACATAGGAGGGTTTTCCTCCTTAATTGTTCAAAGTTTAACATTGATAGGTACCCATTGTTGTTTTTTTTTTCCTGAAAAAACTGCAAATGTTGTAACCTTTAGTTTTTCCATGAATGACTTGGTGGATGGAAATTATATTGATAGTTGTTTTTAAGCACCTCTTTTAAAAAGAGTTGGAATTTGAGCATTTAGTAAAAGAAAATAATATGTTTTAACCACCTGTATAGTTTACCCTTTAATCAATGGAGGTGCAGGTGGAGATGACACATTTTCTGAACTTACTGCATTGTTCACAACATTTGTTAACCCTGCTGCAGATAGGCTGGGCCTGGGCTTGATGCGCGTGTGGGTGTACTTACAATGATAATGAAACACGTGCAAATGGTATCATTTTTCTTTTAAGGAATGTCCTGCAAAAGTGGGACAATGCTCTTGATTAAAGCCCGTTCTCATTTACATCATGATGCATGAACTACCCCCCCTCCCCCCCAAAAAAAAGGTTTGTCCCATGTTTTCTTGGGTTTCACTATTGATTGCATTAGTCAAAAGCAATATTATAGGACAAGTATTGATAAAATAGATGGAAGATTGATTCAAGTGGTAAGTAACTTGATATCGTTTAAGTAAGTTTCGAGTTTGGATTTTTGTGTATGTAAAAAAAATTATTGTTGGGAGATTCATCCGTCAAAGTCAGGTGTGCAACGTGGGTCGGTTCGGATTAATTAAGGCGAAGCCTTGAAAACCAGAAGAGCGATAAAAAATTGATTAAATGATCTCATTATTATAGAAATGTCCAAAGGGGGCTTTATTTTTTTCAAATGGTACTATTAATAGAAAATTTAAGACATTGAATTATAAAGATACAAAATATAAAAAATTAATTAAAGTACATAAAAATTTAAAAATATCAAAGATAACTCCATCTATCTCTTGGATCCCTAGGTCCAACCCGGATTGACTTAAGTTGAACTCGGATTGACTCGGTTAGTAGTGACCCAAATATCTATCACGCCATTTGATAGGATTAGGGGTGTTCATTCGGTTAAAACCGAATCGAACCGAATCGAAATACTCAAATCAAATTAATCGATTTTTTTTTTCTTTAACCGTTAACCGAAACGAATTTTTTATGAAAGTATTAACCGAACCGAATAAATTTCGATTAATTCGGTTAATTTTTGAATTAACCGAATTTTTTTAGAATTTAATATTTTTTAATTAAAAAATAGTTTAGGCAGAAATCAAGGCAGTGCTGCCTCACCCATGCTCCACTACACCATACTCCACCTGCCATCTCATGCCCATACCTTACACAAAAAGGCAGAAAAAAATTATAACCGAGGAAATTGCAACGGATTTAAGACTAGTACCATGAGTCTTGGTGCAGATGTTATTGTATTTTCTCAGTGTTGTGGAAAAGAGGTAAAGCGGTTAGTCTTTGTTAATATTTCTAGGCCAGTATAATATTTGTTAATTCATTTTTATGGGTTTCGCGTATATTTTTAGGAAGTAGGGGGCAATGTCCCTTGGATATTCTGCAAAAAGCAAAGTAGCAGACACCATTGGATAATGTATTTATGAATATCTATTATCTAGAAAAGGAAGTGGGAGGCAACAGGGTGAAAAATATTAAAAAAATATTTAATTCGGTTAATTCGGTTAATTAACTGATTTCAAATCAAATTAACCGTTAATCGAATATCTAAAAAATCATTAACCGTTAACCGATCGAACTAATTCGGTTCGATCGGTTAACCGAATTAGTTCGAAAATTTAAACACCCCTAGATAGGATCCCGTTTCCTTTTGCTTTTAGGGCTAATAAGTGGATATAGGGTTTATACCCCTCCACCTAGTTTTCAATTGTTGGGTTTTGTCTTTTAGCTCTTATCTTGATTTTGAAAATTAAATTTATTAAGTCGTCTCGGTAATAAAAGGGAATGTTATTCTCATTAAAAGTTTTAACTTCGAGTACTTGCGTCTTCATGATATATATGTTATCAATTAATTAAGAAAATTTTGAATAAATATTATTTTGAAATCACTCGGACTAATTAAATAATTGTTGATGAAAATAAATAGATTATGTCTACTATTGGCGCTTCGTGCCTTTTGATTTGGGCGGAGAGCCATCGTTACTAGTTGTCTCCGGAAGCATCCCCAATTTAATCATTTGTTTCAAATTAGTTGGTAAATGTTGACTTAATTTTTTAGATTAGTTTCCGTTAGGTCCCTATTTCATAGATTGATCGATAATTAAACCTTATAATTTCGTATTTATTTTGATTTGATCCCTGAATGAGATTTATTAATTAATATGGTTTCAATTTTTGACTAACCCTGAAATATTTCTCAACTCTCTAGCGTGGTTTGACGATGAAGGATGCTATTGGTTTTTTTTTTTTTGTTTCATGATTTTGTCGATATTTTTACTTTTGGTCTTGTTGTTTTGTGCTGTATTAGTTTTCGTTTACTTTTTAGGTGTTTTGCTGACTTTGTGTTGTATTATTCAACATTATTAGAAGTGCCATTAAATGTGTATTTGTAGCCTTTAGAGATAATATATCTTTTGTTTTAGTTACCAATTTTTGACGTCGTAGGGTATTTCAACCTCTTCAATTGCAATCAACTCTCAAACCCAACTATGATCTTCATTTAGACACCTATTAGATTTATGGTGTTCAGTTGTTTGTAGTCGGAAAAACAGATAGTAACTCTAATCACGTAACGAACTCTTCAAAGATTCAACGTATTCAAATCACTACGAAATGGTGTTGATAATCAATTTCCTTGGAATCAATATATTATATCCCCAACACAGAGTTCTCTAGCTCAAGTTATGATCGAAACACTTAAGAACTATGTGTAGAAAAAGTCTACGTTGGAAAAATAGTAAATTTTATGTTTGAACCTAATAAAACTAAACCATAATAAATATGAAATCAAATCGGGATTTAATTAGGTCAAATAATCAAGAATAATAAATTGAATGCGGAAGCGTACATGAATTAATCGATAGGTTGAAATCCTCGTGTATTTACTTTGTTGATATCTTTCAAGAAGATAGTTATCTTGAGTATCAACTTTTTGACGGAATAAGAGAAAATACGAGATGATCTATTTCTTGGGAACTATAATCCCTTTATATATCTGTTTAAGAATCGATTATTGTTTTTACTTATAACTTCACCCTCATCAAATTAAAAATATAACTTTAATAGTATTTATATTTTTATTTCCATGATACTTCTAATACATTATATATAACTCACGACACATATCTAGTTTTGGTGGGTGACTCTCCTGGTGGAAATTTTCTACATATACAAAGACTCGAACTCGAGACCTACTTAAGTGATATCAAACCGCTTATCACTTGAACTAATCCATTGGTTTAATATATATATATTTATTGGCTTGCATTCAGTCAACTACTATTACATATATAAAAAAATGGTTGTCCCTTGTTCTCATATGTAATGGGGTAAGGGGGAGGTAAGAAAGTAGGTTGCCCCCAACACCAGGTTGAGAGCAGCTTACGTAGAAGACCTCCGAATTATGAAATACCCTCCGTGGGACTCGATCCTACAACCTTAAAGTTAAGAACCTTGTACTCTACCAATTGAGCTGGATAGTCATCTCTACTATTATATATATATATTGAGAAAATACTATTATATAGTAATACATTTTCATTGGTTTTGATGGCATCAAATATGATAATGATACTATATATATTGTCACTCATTTCATCAGGGTTTGACTTGATGGAAAAAGTATTTTTTAGGAAAGTATCACTATCCCATAATTCTGACTTTTGATATTGTTTCATCACTTCTTGTTGATGACTCAATTTGGATGGATGTTCACACTTCACACGGGGGTGGGTGCTTGCTCCTCGTGCGGACATCTAGGGGCCAGGATTCGATCGGGTTGAGTAAAAAAATTTTAAGTTGTTCGAGTTGACGAGTCCTATTTTATAACTTAGAGTTGACTTAAAAAAATTTTGAGTCAAGTCGAGTCGAATTTTCAAGTTTCTATTTAAATTTAATTATAAATATTTACAATATTAAGATATTATTTGATTTCGATTTAAATGGTTTTTTTATGATCATATATAATAAATATATACAACAATCCATTCCTATGTGATTTTGATAAAAAATACAATACATATATATAATAATTCATTCTTGTGTGATTTTTGACAATATATATATATATATATATATATTATAGAGAATTAAGGGACTCGACTCAAACTTAAAAATTCATCCATTAATTACTAAAAATTTTGAGTTATTTGATTTGTATTTTACAACTCGATTTGAACTTGAAAATTTTTCGAGTCAAGTCGAGTTTATGAAATTACAACCTAAAGTCATTTCGAGTCGAATAGAAAAGATCGGTTTTTCGACTTGAGTTTTACTCACCCTTATGGACAACCTTAGATGTGAGGTATAATAGATGTTATTTGGATCTGAGAACGTACACATAATTTTATGTTGAGGAAATAAAATTTTTAAAATTTTAAAAGAGAACGAATTTATATAAATTTAAAGACATAAATATATTATCAATAAAAAAATATTTACAATATATAATAATTTAAAATCTTTAAAAGACGATTATTTCCAAACGTCCCATGATCCATCCTTAATTTGGATTGTGATGTCACGCGGAGGATAGAATGTGACTCATGTTTATAATGAGATGCCTCTCGTATTGTCATCCCTAAGGCATGAACTTCACCTCCTGATCGAGGGATTAATTTATTAAATTAAATTAAAATTAAGATTAAATTGATTGAATACAGAAATAATATGGATCAAATGTGTAATTATACTAATTTTATTAATTACCGCATAAGTACTTCCGTTAATTTTTAACGACAAACTGTTTGATTGAAACCGCTTAAATAATTATATAATAATATTGATAAAATTAAATGTATGATGATCATATCGACCATAATCTCATAGTTAGGTGGTCATTTTCAATTAATTCAACTCCAATTCATCACCGCAACTGATTTCCCACCACTCATCAGCATTGGATCTTCACCACATATAGAACAAGAAAGTGGAAGACTAAATATATATAGGTAGGTATATG